ATGTGGCTAGCAGCACGCAGCGCGGGAATATTTTTCTTCGTCGGTGACACATTTACGCTGCTTTCTACGTTTTTTCTACGACTATTTAGCAACATCCTATTAAAGAAATGCATAATGAAAAGAATTTTCGGGAAGATATATATTTCTCTACACCGATTTTTGGTCTTTTTCTCGTAATATTCTTGTTCAAGGACCCGGAAGTCAGTGTACCGGGACGCGGGGTGAATTTCCATAGGGCATTTTTGGACCGCACCCCGCTAGAACTAAACCGTCAAAACAAAAACAAAACTTCCAAAAAGCGAACCTGTGACATTTTTTCACATCCCAATGATTATGTTTTCGATCAAATTGACATCTAAATATGCTTTCTTTATTTTTCTGTATTGTTGTGGCCGGGCGCAAGGACTGCTGTTTCTAGCTGTTTTTAACATTTTACGGCCTCAAAGCTCATACCACAAGGGAAAGAATGTTATGCTTGTCATTTTCATTCGTATCACTTCTTCTGGCAACGAATCATTTTCCCGCCGCACTGCCGATACTAGCGTGCACGTTGTTTTTTTTTTTATTTGGTGATCGTCCCGCTTTGCTTGACGATGTAAACAGAGCTAGAGGTAGTCGAAGTTATTTACATTACATGAAAATTGCGTTGTAAAACACCAGTGGGATGTCTGATTTTCTACCATTGACAATGTTTTCTTTGTGGCGTCATAGCGAGATCGACAATTCATCGACTGTGCAGACAATAGGGACCAATTTATTAATAGCAGCTCAATCGATCCACGCCGCTCGGCCGAAGAAAAAGCGAATGACTAGCAAATCTACCGGGGAAATATGGGAGTTAATTCCCTAATTTGGAAAATTGGTGGCGCTGAGATAAGGACTGGGTGGCGCAGCGCCACTTCCCCATCGTGGAGGTCCCTGCAGCGCGCGGGGTATGTTTTTAATGATTACCACCAATAGTCTTACAAGCAATGCAAAAAGAATTATACATTTATACCACGTGGCACTGAGGTAAATATAATTATACGGGTTCAAAATTGTAATTGCAAATAGTTGGTGAAAAAAAAAACATAATTGGGACGCACTTGATGCTGACAAGGAGTAGATTTTATTTTGTGTACTGTTGCATTTCCGGTGCTTTCCGCTAGGGGGCACAACCGCACTCAGAAAAAGAGAAATGCTTGGATACGCAAAACCCCCATTAGCGGCCTCGGACCGGACCGGGCAGCGGTTTAGGTGGACGGGCAGGGCAGCTAAGTCCGAATACCCGTATTAAAGCAACTGGTGGCCACGCTTTGTGAGAAGTAATAAAAGAAATCAATGGCTATGGCAGAGTACGTGACTCTCTTAGTGATAAGGTGCACACCGGTAACTCTTTTTCACGCATAATGGTGGTCATTAGTCTTGCATTTTACATAATTTATTGCCCTTGGCACCATTTGGCAAAGCACTTGGCCAACAAGCTTTGGCTGTAATGGAAATACCCCTAGGCAAAGAAAAGATGCAACATACAAGATGTAAAGGGAGGTCATTTGGCCTGTGGCTGAGATGATTTAACTCTAAACTTAAGACAGTTGACTTTGCAGAATTGTTTTTTTTGCCAAAAGGCCATGTAAGGCAAGGGCAAGGTCATAGGAATCCTGTGATATTGGCTAATGTAGAGAATTGAGTTATGGGTAACGAAATTCCATCAGGGTACAGCAGGGCAAAAATCAATATTTCCAGGGACTGGAAAGCTTGAAAAGTGCTTAGAATGGACAATAACTTTGTACTGTGTACTTTGGAAAGCATCCATCTCTGTATTTTCCCATTAAAAGTTTTGTTGGTCTGGGACACGGTCTTCAAACTGCTGCAAAGTTGGGCAGTCATGACCGAGGAACGGGACACGTTTCTCTGTGGCTGGTTTTACTGCAGATGTAGGAAGATAACGGCGCAGTTCGTTGGACTTTACAGGACCTGACAACATCTCACATGATCATTCACAGCGACACGCAGTCGGACTGGGAATGGCACATAATGCTGAGGCGGCTTAAAATGAACAACCGTAAAAGGCCACTTTATATCATCCAATCGTAAAACTGCATGCACATCATTCACCACTTTCCACATGATCAATGGTGGGGCCTGGTCCATTTAGCCTTCTATCTTATCTTGTGAAGTCAGAGAAATTTGTGCTCATTCTGATATGAAAGGCTGTTTGCAGCATTTCTAGAGAGCAGGGTAGAAACATTGTCATGGGATTCCAGGAAGAAAGGTTGACACCCACTCAAAATGGATGGATTTTGATACTGAAAAATAAGTGTAATTCAGAGTTGAAAAGCAAACCATTTTACAAAGCTTTAAGCATAACCAATTTCACACCATTGCTCTTATGTGATATTACTTCATGTAATCGATTTCATCTTGCTCTTGCACATGTTACTGTAAAAAAGGATTCGCGCTTTAATACCAGGTATTATCAAATGCCTCAAGGAAAACCTTTGTAAAGCATAAAACATGCTGAAGCCTATGTATTATACTGAAGTCTATGCTTTATAACATACTGTGATTGCATATCACAGTCAACCCCTGGAGCAGAAATCTGGGGGTGGAAAATCCATCACCATCTGCAGTCAAACATGGCCAGATGCTCTTATCTATAGGGTACAAATTGTAAAGCATTCTGATGCAGATATGACTATCCTGACAGACTGACTGACTATCCAGGCTTTGATTATACTGCTGCGGGGGTTCCTGGCACATTAGAGGGTAGGCAGCAGTCAGCTACTAGTATATACATTCTCAGAAAATACAGTTGATTGACGGACTGTAGAAAAGCATTTGATTTTGAATATCAATTTTAGTACAGCTGGCAGATTCTTCTGCAGTACAGGAACATAAACCTCAATTACACTAAATCCCAAGTTTCCCATTTGCCCACTGATTAACAGTCACATTTTACTGTATCTAGTACAGTTGGCAGGTTTACTGCATCGTAACTGGCCCTGGTTGTGGTGTCACTGATTTTACTGGCAATTTCTAAGTAACAACCAGGCTCCTCTGATCCGGGGGCATACATGTACCAGTAAATACTGTAATAAATTGTGAAGGGACCTTTTGACAATTAAGCTGGACCACCTCTAACTTACATCTTCCTCCAGCAAATCATTCACCCACCTTTTAGCCACTTTCTGGTCTTTATTATTTCCTAAGAGAGTATGGTAGAAAATGAGGTTTCCTATACAGTGCTATTGATGCATACAGGACAGTGGGTTGCCAGTCTAGTTGGCACATCAAAAATTTAACTGAAAACATCACTTCATCATTTCCATCCTTCTCTGTGGCAGTTACCAATAGGAAGTCAATACTGGACTTTCAATTTCAACCTTCCAACAATGACATTAAAAAATTGTACATGTATGTTCTTGACCTTTCTACAATCGAGTCCTTTACCTCTCGGCTGCCTTGAATAATACGCAGACTGGCGGCAAGAGCGATGAGGAAATTCATTGGCTGCGTTCCACAGGGACGTCGCATTGAAAAGCCATTACATCACTCCCACTATACAGCCTGGTGGTCATGCAAATTTACAATTAACTGTGGAGGCAGTGGAGATACAGAAGGTTTACAGCCCCGTGTTGTATTGCTCAAGGGAAATTATTGAAACCCTTGACTCCTTTAAGTCTCTTTTACTACGGTCTGGAGACAGTGCAAACGGAGACTTTCAAACTGTACTGTTTATCTTTCCTTCAACGTCTGTTATCATGACAGTCTTGGGGGTAACTATTATTATATATGGAGATGAAGGATATGAATATAGGAAGCGGAAAAGTCACACCAATCATATCTTAAATATATTGTTTCACCTTATTCAAGCAACTTGTTCTCTGTTGATTTATAAAAAATGATTTTCATCTAGACTCTCACCACTCTACCTCTAAGATTAGGGTTTCGAATGGGGAAAATTTGGCATTTGAAAATGACTTCTTTCCATCTGACTGTACATACCGTACATGTATAGTACGTTCAGTTGCTGGAAAATTGGACAGATAAATTATGAATTAATCAGACGTATGAACGTGGATGTTTTAAGTAATTAGGTAATTATTACACAACTGACATAAATATCTAAGAGTAGCTCTAGATAGAACAATAATGACTAGAATCACAACTTTTAGATTTCTAGAAAGCTTTTAACTGTAGAGTATAGCAGAATAATCTCTTTATTCATAATTGTCGGGACCAGCCTACAACAATGAAAACATGAATCAGGCGTGACCACTCCCAAACAAAAGAATATATAAATCCTTTCACTATATCAGGCAAGAGGTCAATCGTCTTCATGTATAGTTGACATAGATATACTCACACAATAAGTGGGAAAAGCCTTTAAATGTTTTTGTCTCTATGGGCCATAACAATGTGTGTGACATAAACAAAACATGAATTTACCATCAGAAGCAATATCAAAATTGTTAAATGCAGAAATGTTTAATGCAAAAATATGGGAACAAATAAATGTGTAATATTTGCTCAAGTGGCAAAATGCTGTGGCTAAATATTGAAATAAAACAACTGACAATTTAAAAATTCTCTCTATATTGTAAATATATTTGAAGAAGTAATAGATGAAAGAATGTAGACTTCTCTACCTACCTCAGAAATCTGCTACTTGCCAGCCGATCGTTTGTCGTTGTTGTTGTGCCTGCATCAAGCGAGATGTTCCACAGCCGACACCGTCATACTGCCGTTACCACTCCCTCGTTCTCGCGTATAACGCACTGGAACGTCCCACTATTAATGCACCTCCGTGACCCCTCAGTCTGCCTCCCTATAACGACAGAGGGACGACACTCTGATGGTCTGGTCAGGAGCGAGCATGAATAATAGATGAGACAGAATGGAGTCGGACAGCACGCCTACTTACTGTTCATCCCATTGTGCAGGACCAGACGGTAGGGTGCTCCCACACAAAGGAGAATCCCACATTTGGAATATATTATCCCTTAATTTTCTTTCATAAACCCAATTCCCTGGGTATTTTTATTTGCATGGGAAGGCCACGACAGCATGCAATGTTTGAATAATGACTCTATTTGCGTCCAACGCGGTCAGGCCAAATAGGAGATTAGAGTAGTTATCACCCACTTTCAGCTAATGGATTGATAATATATTGCATGGGGTGGAAAAATCTGATCTACATGAGGAATTGCTGTAATAACTGTCACACTAAAGTGCAGTCCTCTGTAACTACTGGTTTGATAGAAAAATACCAACTTGGTTTGTATATACATTACACACCATTTGACCGAGGAAGCTTTTACAAGGACATGTTACGTTATATGAGAACATTTTGTGAAAGTTGCTTTGACCATCCTTTAAGCCTTAAAGTGTCAAGGCCAATAGATCACCTGCAGCCTCCAATGTTCAAGCAAATTTATGCAATACTTGGGTGGTTATCATTATGAGCATCACTAAAATAACCTTATACCAGTGAAAAGAAATTTCTACAACTAGACAAACCTTTAAGTAATGCAGAAACTTTCCCTAGACTAGGTAATATATTTCAATTGATGACTTACCTGTTTTACAAACCACCTTGCACTTATTGCTGGTACTGCAGCTGCAACAGCAAGTGAAGCTTCCAACCTATCAAACTTTCAGGCATGACTGTGTCAGCAACTTAAACTGCATGTAATGACTTCAGTGCCCCATGGCCCTGTATAGGTTGACATTTGCATTCAGACAAAGTAGTCTAGCTATGAGACCAGACTAACTCAAACCTTTCCTCAGCATACAAAGTGTGTTTCTAGCCATGCAAGCCTTACCCTATTCTGTCTTAAATTCTTTGTGTTTGTGACTGCTCTAGATAGTCTCAAATTGGGAAATCGTCTTATCCTCTATCTGAAACAACCCTTATTTACTCTCTTCCACTAATTAATCATAGGATTCTATCCCTACCGGTAATCCTCTCTCTCCAAAATCCAGGAAGAGGCATTAAAACAAGACTTAAGTAACACTGTTTTATTTATGACTTCCTGGTACGCATGCAGAGTGCCTGATAAATCAGGATGAACAAATGAGGGAACAATCTTATCTCTGTTGACAATACAGGATTATTTAAGTAACTTGTCATTGGATTGTATTGATTAATCCCACTTCCTTTCCTCTCATTGTACATGTATGTTATAAATAGAAAATGAGAATACAATATTTGCAGAAAACATTGATGTATCAACAAAATGTTAGTGAGAATTTGTTCAGTTGTTGCTACTGTACATGAGTTTACTTCTTTCAGTCTTTCGTTTGCAAATTACTGCATATTTTTTTGCTTAATGTATAAAAGTTTGTTTTAAAATAATTCATAACAAGTAGGTATGGACATCATTCTAATATCATTTTGCAAAATAAGTGAAGACTACATCTTAAACTTAGTGTTTAAAGCAGTTTTGAAAACTGTCAAATTTTAAGGTATTGTCAATAAGCTTTTGGGAAGATTTTCACATGCACTCGACACTACGAACTCCACATTTTTATCTGCACATCTAAATTCTCGAAAAGCTTCAGTAATGGGGCTTAAAAGCCGTAGACAGCAGGGACCTATTTGTGTGTGCCTAATTGCAGAACCTGAGCGAGCGAGGCACAATTACCCTGGGAGGAACAGTAGTGGTAGTTATCCTTTAAGTGGAGGTCAATCACAGTCAAACTGACAGGATTATCATTAATGTACATGTAGATGTGAAAACTTGGCATTAACGACTGGGTTATGTCAATGGAAGAATATATCCAACATATCACCCTGTCAGTCAAAACTAAATTTTGTTGCCTTACATCAAGATACAAATTAGCACCCTAATTTCCAGTCTTCTACACCAGGAAGGAAGCATTAAACTTCTTCATTCCAGTCATGTACAGTCAACAAGAGCACTCTGATGTAAGTCAGTTTAAGTACATAGTGGCTCCAAGGACATAAAATAGAATGGCATGGCCAAGAACCCAGAGTGCACTTTATGAGTAGCTGAAACATGTAAAAAAGAATAGTTATTAGGAGGGTAGAAAATTGCTCCCAATTAGGAGAGCTAGCCAGGTCAGTAAATGACACGTTTTACGAGCACAGAAATGTCTGCATTCATGGCCTTAAATCTCATCCCATGCTTTCATTTTGTCTCAAATGATAACTTCTGAAGTAGCTAGATGGGCTTCTGTAATTTGTGTCCTTGATTGTGTTTTATGACCCCTGCTCCTCTGTCTTGTTATTCATTTAGGCTCCAGCTACATAAATGTACCAAGTCTGCTTTTTATTGACAAACTGTAGTGATGGGGGGAAGTTACTACATAGCTTTACAAAAATACTTCCATGTTATATTTGAACATGATTAAAGAAAGCAAATTTAAGTCAAACTTTACTCAAAGGGGAGGAAAAAAGGTGGGGGAGACCAAATGGGAAGACATTAACGGGTATGGCGGGTAATAATACAAAGTAAACGCCATCTATACACAGGGTCAATTTTCTGCATGTCAATATTACTTGTAATATTAATAGTTCAATCAAATTACATGCATAATAAGTTTACAAGAATCCTTGGCACATACACTTACAATATCTACAATATCTCTTTATTCATTGACGTTTTTTGCAATCCACTGCTTCTTGCTGTCCTGTCCATGTACATACATGTAACGTTACATGTACTAAGTATTATGGATGACTTCACAATTAGTAACTGTTAGTGTTATATTGCCTCATAATTGCTGTTGCAACATTACAAATAAATAGGTCACTTATGTGGAGTAAAGCAAAAAGTGTCAACCTTCCAACACTCAACTTGAAAAAATAAAGTAACCAAAGTTGGAGGAAAACAGCATAACTTTTGACCAAACTTGTGAACTAAGAAAATAATCCATCCAAATTACAACAGAACATCAACTGAACTGAACTGAACTGGACACAAAGAAGCCACCTGCTGTCAGTTGTGAGCTTGTCCATCAATGTTATCTGAGTCTGACTCTCCCATGTCTGTTTCTAACGGTCCGTCAAAGTCATCCACAGAATCATAGTCATCTGAATCTTCATAGTCATCATCATCCCCCTCATTATCATCCTCATCATCATCATGGGTCTGCAGGACAACAGGACGTATAACATTAGATTAGTAGGTACTGTATTAGTAAATTATAGATAGTTAAATAAATCCTTCATATGACATACTAAAGTGATAGTAGCCATGAGGCACTATAGTAGTATCTGTATGTCTTAAAATACTGTGACTTGTCAATACATTATTATAAAAATGCATTATATAAATGCAATGTGTACTCATATTTTTAGTTATCGATCATTGATATAAACTAATAAAGACAAAAAATCAAACTCTTAGTAGTCTTACCTCTGATGCAGTCTTCCCAATAGGAACTATATCATTGTCCTTCTCTGCTATGCTCTCTAACTGTAAAGAATACAAAAAGCAAATTACACATGACAAAGCTTGTAATAAACTGTGCAACATCATTTATTTTCTTATACTACTATAGTTATATGCAATAGTTACTGACAGGAGCATCCTGTCAACAGCCATATATAACCAAAATATGATGTATGAAATAAATTTCGGCATCTAAATGACATTTAAATTAACCTCATTGAACATAGTAAACCAGTAACCATAAGTTGACAATTTATGCATAACTGGTGCTATAATTTACCCATGATTTGTGAGCCTGTTCCATATGATGCAGTTCACTCTCATCGTCGCACGGCTTGTCCAAGTTGAACCACAGGGGGTCGTTGACACGAGGCAGTAGGTTTGGGAACGGAGTGGACATCTTGTCCTGCTAGGAAAAATATAAACCTGGCTGCGCAGTGCAAATCATAACATCCAAATGGATTCCAGTCCTGCTGACGTCTTGGCTGCAAATATTTTCCAGAAAATTCGCCCTGTGTACAGTTTGCAGCACTTCACAAGTACTTATAGACACAAGGAGTATTTTATGTACGACAAGGATTGTGGATATTGCTTTTTACCGTCAGAATTTCCACGAAAAATCTTCAAAATTGGGACAACAACTTCAGCACGTCCTGTCTCTCTTTCCCTCTTCTCAAATTTGAACCAGAAAACACAGTGCGCAGTTTTACACCGCAGATACAAAGAGGTAATCTGAATGAAAAATGTATTGATATATGAAGTTAAACGTATTTTTTAACTTTATATATCAAAAGTCAATTTTTTTAATGGTTTATGATTGTATATTAGTAGGATTCAGGCTGATATAGTGTTTTTACGTTCAAGTCAAACCTACGTATATTGCTATGTTCAAACGGTATGCTGTTTTTGTTCACTCTAAAAGCCAACATGGCGGCGAGTCGCCAAAAAGTAGGAATCGTCTGCGGCTAAATGACGAATTTTCGTTATTTACAGGCGTAATTGCAAGCCTACAAGGAAATGGCCGATTTATAACGAAGCCAAAACCTTTTATAACTCTTTAAAAGGAAGGATTTGTCACTCCAGATGGATTCTGGGGACGAGGACGACCGTGAGACAGAACCGCCCCTGTCTCTGACCGGGTTTCTGTTTGGAAACATCGATCAGAAGGGGCAACTTGAAGATGACGATGTTTTGGACCAGGTAAGATTGACGTGCATTTGATTTCTGTTATTCATATGTCAACAAATTACAGTAGTTTTTTTCGCTCATAGCAAAATATCAGAAACAGAAAGCAATGTATACAGCACAAAACAAATGTTTTAAAATACTAGTTTTGACTATAATTTGTAATTCGACATGTTATAAATTTCCACAGGAATCCAAGCGACACTTGAATCAGTTGAACTCACTTGGAGGATTTGGCAGTCTGGTTCAAGAGATCACAGCAGATACAGACAATAACGGAGATGATGAACAGGATAGTCAGACAAGCTCCAGTGGTAAGAAGTTCTTACCTTAATACTGGTACAAGATGTGCACTCAGAACTGAAACTTTGTTAACGTTTGTGCATCAAAATCAAATTTTTCATTTGAACAAAGCTTACCTCAGTTCTTAATTTGGCATGTTTGTTCTTGATCTGTGTGAAAGATACATATTCTGTACTACATAAACTTTTGTTTTCAGTGTTGTAGCATTAACGTTACAGACATATTTTGACAGTAAAAAATGTTTATTCAGAAACATCAAAGTTTTTTTTTGTATGAGTCTTGATAATAAAAATTCCACATTCGTCAAAAGTTCTACCAAGAGTGCTAACTACCCGGGCCCAGCACTTACTATTATATCACCTTTTCTGTAGCGAATAAAACTGCTACTAGTACATGTATTTGGAAATGGCATTACTTCATCATCATCGTGGCTGCTCACATCTGTTGACAATGCTGGCCACCACTGACACTCCTTACTTTGATTGTAGACATTAGGTGTATTACATATCATGATGTTTTCCAGGTTGGGTGCTGAACTCCCCCAGTGCTGTGGACTATTCTGACATCAATGAAGCGGTTGATGAACAGGAAATTAGACAGTCCATGGGCTCTCTACGGGTTCCTCAGCCAGGTACACATATATGTACAATGCACAGCTATGTGTTAGTACTCTTCATGTTATATCAAATTTTAAAAGAAATATTTCTATACAAGGATATGCTATAGCATTAATGTCAGCAAGGAGGTTAATGCCAGTAATAATATGAAACTTATTGGATGCTGTCAATATCTTTCTGTAAACCTTGGTGATTGAAAATATGTTCTATATACTCAGGTTCAGACTCAACCTCTGATGATGATGATGACTATGATGATGAGGGGGAGACAACAGACCGGCAGCTCATGCCCCCACCTGCCTCCAGCCTGGTTACCAAGGCAACCAAAATGGACTCCAGAAGCTCTCCTGTGGAGGAGTTCAAAGGTCGACCATCCCTTCATGATGAAAGGGATGCTGGGAACTCACTGTTCGCTGACGCCGGAATCATCTTACCATCAGTGGTTCCTACAAGTACAAATGGAGAAATTACCAGAAAAGAGGAGGACAATCTAGTCGAGAAGGGTGATGGCAAAAGAAGGGCATCTGATAGCTCCCCAGAATTGAACTGGAAGAGGAGAAGATCCATGGAGAAATCTCCCAGTGGTGGAAGTCTGAAGGATGCTCTGTTTAAAGGGAAAGAACTGCCGGATGTGACAGTTCTGTTTCCTCATTTCAGACATGGAAAGGTAAGGGTTTGTGAAAGCTGGAATAATCTATTATAGTAACTACTAGTATACTGTGAATAAAAGTCCTTGTTGATTTATGTTGTTTCTTGCTATATGGTCCCTCAGATCCCTATATGGTTATGCTGAAAAATGTCCATTATACATCTTTTAAATACTGTATGATTCTAGAATTAGAGCTATAATTTGAAGACCCAACAGTATGTGGACCCCTCATGTCATACACAGGTTCTTAGATTTAACAAGTTGTTTGGGCCGGGGAAACCGTCATCACTGCCACAGATTTGGAGAGGTGCCAAGCGGAGAAGAAAACGTCGGCGGCCGACGGGAGAAGAACCCGAGGAGTTTCAGGGGTGGGAGTTTGACTACGGCCCCATCCCTCCTCCTGACCAGTGGATGTCTGATGATGAGGTACTGACATCTGTGCTCCTCCTAGCTTTTTTCTTTCAAACTGCAGCTGCCTTTTAATTTAAACCTAGAGATTACCAGCATGTAAGTCTTACAGGGGAAAGCATGACATATGCTGTGTAGCATGAGATAATTTGACTAGCTACATGTATACAGAGGGCATTTTCTAAATTCTAGCTATCTTTAATCAAAGTCCGGATAGATAAGAGAGTAGGTTGAGAGGGTTGAGAAGAAACACTGTTAGACTGTGCATACCAGGATACTTCTATGGTACAAGACAGCTTCAGATCTTCCTTTTCTTCAATGGACCTTTCTTATTACACAGGAGAAGATGATGCGTCCCATGGAAGCTTTACCAGACACAGGAACCAGAAAGGAGGCGACTCAGGATGAGGACAGACCAGAGATCCCTGAGTGGAGATTTGGTCCTGCCAGGTACTGGTACGACATGCTGGGGGTACCGGAGACTGGAGAGGGATTCGACTATGGGTTCAAACTGGCAGACGTAAGTTCTTACTTTTCTTTATAGTAATTATAGCAATAATAGTATAGTGTTCTTTCTCAGTTAGCTCACAATAAAACATTCAGGTCTGCTAATCATACGTTGTGTAACATGAAGTTTTAGTTCCTTGATGAAAAGGTGGGAAGCTATTTGTTATCAATTGATACAGACCTCTTATGCAGCATCTTATTTGTTGAAATTTTTCCATTTTGAGCTAAAATCATCCTATAAATTTCTTTTGCCCAAATGTCTAAACTTCAGCATTGTTGTGTGCCAAATATTCTGCAGTGATACAGAAAAGTGTGTGAAAGGTGAAGTTTGTTTTGTAACTGTTACAGAATTCTGACAGTGACAGCGGTAATGAAGGGGATGATGAAAGAGAAGAGACAACAAAAGAAGAACCTCCCAAACCCTCCCAACCTGAACCACAGAAAGATGACACTGCCGAGAAGACAGAAGATCAGACAGAAGACATGGAAACCTCAGAAGAAGCGGAGGAGGTCCCTAAGTCAGAGTTTCCAGAAGAGGAGTACTTTTACATGGTGGCCCAGCGGTCCTGGGAGGATGATATTGTGTGGGATGGGGAACAGATCAAGGATAAAGTGCTGCAGTCCAAATCTGCAGCTATGGCAGGATGGATCCCTACTAGTACCAGTAGGACTGCACAGTCCTTCAGCACACAACAAGGTAATCAACCATAACACATGGCAGAAAACAATTCTCAGCAAAACATCATATAATCCCACACTAATGAAAGAAATACTGTTTTGTTTTCCTGCTAATAAATAGAAGTTGTCATATTGATACAAATAAGTTTCTCTTTATTAAATAGACAAGAGTGGTCAGATTTATGTGTAAGTTAATTTTCCATGTTTGTTTTCACTGTTGTCCCAGGTTTGAACATCAGCGTGACCCTTCCAAACAGCATCCCCTCCACATCATCAGGAAAGAACCAGCAAGGTAAGCAACTTAAGGACCATTCCATGTGTTACTGGTATCCCTGGGCCTTTAAAAAACGTTCTTTAAGATTGGTGTCTTTAAGAAATGGATATATTCTCAGCATGTTTCTTGTCCCCTTATGTCAGATCCAGATGGAGATGACCAGCAGTGGTACTCCCTGTTCCCTGTGGAGAACCCTGAACTGGTGTATGGCAACTGGGAAGATGACATCATCTGGGACCCACAGGTAAGGTCACCGTGGTGTTACAAGATTCAACAAGTTTCTCTAACTTCCCTTTTACCGTGATGTTACAAGCACAAACACACATGTATATGGATTGGTTCCTCCATGGTGGTAGATATATGTAACAATTGTGACCCATGGTCTAAGCCAAAACACACTCAGTGTCATGCAAAACTTATTGGCAAAATTGGATCATTCCATATTTTTTCCAGAATATGAAGGAGATTCCGAAGCCAAAGGTCATGAAACTTGACCCCAATGACGAGAACATCATCTTCGGAATCCCAGACGACCCAGACCCACTTCCGGACGACACGCCCTCCAAGGACAAGAAGGAAGTCCGCCAGTCCACCTTACTGCTGAAAAAGAGAGGCTTGACCAAGCCAGAGTCTGACCAGGTTTGGTTGTTCCTGTTACTAACACTGTCAGAAACCTTCACAGCTTTAACCACATGGACGTCTTCTCCACTATTTGTCTCTTCATGACTTTTTTCTGTTAAACATTCATAAGTATGTGTGTGTGTGTGTCAGTTAGCTCAATGATGAAGAAAATAGGAAAAAATGTCTTTGAATGAACATTATGTCATGTATCATTTACATTATAATTTTTTCATCTTGTTGCACATTATTGAAAGATGTTCTGTCATTGAAACATACCCAGAGGATGTTTTGTGATGTTGTGCTGAAAAGGTCTAAGTTTCAGCTCTGGTGTTTTTCAAAGTTGAGGTTTTAGTGCTCATTTATAAATTGTATGCAAATTTGAGTGTACATTTCATCGTGACCGTTGATTTGATTTTTTGTGAGGAATTTGGACCAACAAAGCATGTGTTTTTTCTGCAGTTGTCGGATCCAAGGAAGAAAAAGAAAAATGTGGTAAATTGAAGTTTAGGACATATCTGTTCCATTCTTGTGTGAAACCTTGTCTGCCATTCAGAAATACTTCATTAACCTTGCTGTACATCTCTCATATTAACATAGAAATTGTGAAAGGTCTAAAAAAAAACACTTGTTAGAAATTGTTAATTGATGTGTTATCCCAAACAAGGTTTATTTGAAAAGTTAGTGAAACTATAGATTTTGTGGTGTTTCTTTAATGTGGCTATCCTTTGTGAACACAACAACTGATCATGTATTGTGCAGAACTCGTACAGATCTAACATTTTCCATTAACCAAAAAAAGACGACAGTGATTCTGAAAGGTTTCACCATAGGATGGACTGAGATGTTACCAACATTTGGAACGTTTGTTTCTCTGTTTGTTCTGTTTGTTGCTTTGTCCTTCTTGAAGTTGAAAAAGGCACATTTGATAAGACAAAAAGCACATCTCATATATCTTATAAAAAGGTAAGCTGTTGAAATATATTGTCCATGGTTGTTCATAGTCCTTCATAATTGGTATTCATATCTAACGTTGACTGCTACATTGATTTGCTTAGCAACTTATCTGTTCCATTGTTATTCATTTTCATTTAAAATCATATTCTTATGATTTGGGAAAAAATGAAACAGAAGCATTTTCCTTGATTCAAGTCCTTTAACCTGATACTCAGTTCAACTGGCTGAGCTTTGCGCCAATAATTGGATCAACCCAGTACTGGAAAAAAACTGAAATTCAACAAAGAATGTATTCTTATTCTATGCTTATGCTTATTGGAGTAACAGTGGAACATGTTGTGCTTAAGTAAACCACAAGAAATATGTGGGTTATGTTGAATTTATTGAGCTATGTGCTCAAAACAGAACTCTGTTCTTTTGCAGACCAACGTGTCCCACAATGAGCAGAAAGACCCCTGGAATCTGTCCAATGATGAATACTACGACCCCAAACACAGTCTGCAGGAGACAACACTGAGGGCCAGCATGGGGGGGAACCTAGTACAGGTGACCTGTCACACCTTTCTACTCATTCCTTCAGCAAGTTATTAAAACTAGCAAAAGCTCTAGTTAATGGCAGACATCCATGTAATGAAATACTCAAGAAATAAGTTACTAAAGCATCTATCCAGTTGCTTTTTGAGTAACTTTTTTGAGTATTATTGGAATCATTTTAAAATTGACATTTGTATATTAAGGTGGTACATGTGGTATTTCATCAGTGAAGGTTAGACATCCAGGCAACTTGTTTTTAGTTCCTACATTTTGGCATACATGTACATGAAGTAATGTTAGTGTATTTGTCCCATGTACATGTAGCACTCCATCCCTGCTATTGAGCTGCGGCAGCCGTTCTTCCCCACACACATGGGCCCCATCAAGCTGAGACAGCTCCACAGACCCCCCCTCAGGAAGTTCTCCCACGGCCCCATGGCCCAGCCCGGCCCTCACAGTGTCCTACCTCTCCTCAAACAGATCAAGAAGAAAGCTAAGGTAAGGATGGTTTATATTACAGGTGTCTGACTGTATGGTTATGATTTGATTGTTTGGTCGAATACAAGAAAACTTTCACTCACACTCACTCACTATCATGGTTTAGCAGATTTTTTTTGTCCCAGTGTTTGGTGTGTTTGCCTTTGTTTGGGGTCTCATATTCTAGTAACAGAATTTATGTAAAACTTTTGAAGAACAACATTCCAAGTGCATATGTTTTGGAAGCACAATTGGACTCACAATTTTTCCATATAATGCATTAACTGCAGTGGTCATTTTCTAGTGAGTATAAAGGCAAGTATATATGGTACATCAAATGGCAACAAAAAGTCAGACATTGCAGAAAATGTTTGCATGCTGCTGTAATGTATCTTAGCGTTTACCAAATACCTCTGACTCAGTGTTGATGACACACTTCAGAGAAGCCACATGACAAGTCTCACTGGGTCAGTCTATTGGTGAAGACCAGAGTAACTGGGCGAAAGCAATAGGTGAGAAAGATCCCTCGTGTTGGAACAAGTTTTAACTCTAAACACATATCCTCCCCGTAGATGAGAGAACAGGAGAGACAGGCGTCTGGAGGTGGGGAGGTGTTCTTCATGAGGACTCCCCAGGACCTGACGGGGATGGACGGGGAGATCCTGCTGGCAGAGTACAGCGAGGAGTACCCTCCCCTGGTCAGCCAGGTCGGCATGGCAACCAAGATCAAGAACTTCTACAAGAGGGTCAGTTGCCTTTCATTTTCCTAGTGATCATTCATCATTTTCCTAGTGATGTGGACTAGAAAATCATGAAAGATATTCACCTTGGAGACATTAACTAGTTAGAAGTACTAGTAAAACAACATTTCTGTGCTGAATATTTTATTCTTTTTTTGAACCCCACAGAAAGCAGGCCACACCACGGGTCCGCCTAAGTTCCAGTACGGTGAGACGGTGTACGCACACACCTCCCCGTTCTTGGGCCCCCTGCACCCCGGACAGGCCCTCCAGGCCTTTGAGAACAACCTTTTCCGCGCACCCATCTACCAACACAAGATCCCTGAAACTGACTTCCTCGTCATTCGCACAAGGATGCAGTGAGTTGCCCTGTCATAAATGCTTGTATAGAAGTGTATGACGTGTAATGTTGTAAGATATGACGAGTTTTCTGATGGTGATAATGATATTTGTTAAGTGTGTGTATAGTCTGTGGCACCCGCAATGTATTTAGCAAAAGTTTACGGCTGCATACCATTGTAAGCTGTCTAGTTCCAGTCACTGTCTTTCTCAGGTTTCTAAAATTAATGCGCCTTGAGACTTGAGATAATGCAGAAAAACCTTTGCCATGTTGTAGGAGAGGGATCTTACGACTTTTCTGAAGAAAAAATTCTTGGTAATGGATATAAAACAATGCAATAGTCTTTATGGTTTTATGATGTATTCCTGTACTAAGTTCATGTAAATATTTCTTTCTCTGTGTTTCAGTTATTACATCCGTGAATTCCAAGGTCTTTTCTGTGTGGGACAAGAATGTCCCCTGTATGAGGTGCCTGGTCCTAACTCCAAGAGAGCCAACAACCATGTCAGGGACTTCCTCCAGGTAAGGGCTCACCTGTAACAGGTAGTCCTTCTTGTTAATAATAAGTACATTTGTAGGTTACTTGATTGATATATAGTACAGTGGATTCCATAGTTCCCATTTAGAACTTTTATTCAGCCTCAGAAATGTGATGGGCTGAATAAAAGTTCTAAATGTCTTACTAAGGGACGACTGCCATGTGTGAGATGTTGGTTAGCTTGTACGACTGTGTAGATATATTTTTCTACATTGTTGTATAATTGTTAACCCATCTTTGAGCAATATATATTTATTGTGAGGGTTTTCCCGTAGGTTTTCATCTACAGACTGTTCTGGAAGAGTAAGGACAAGCCACGCAGAATTAAGATGGAGGACATCCGTAAGGCCTTCCCAACACACTCAGAGAGCAGCATCCGCAAACGGCTGAAACTGTGTGCTGACTTCAAGAGGACTGGTAAGATTCTCAAGTACCTATTGCCATGTTTCATTTAATTGCTTGTCCATTGTTATTCATAGACCTTGCAATAAAAACCAATATATTATAGGCGTGAAAGAGTTTTGTTGGATTGGTATGGTATCCTTATTGTTTTGAACCCTACTTACTTCTGGTGAACTAGCTTGTTAAGGACAGAAATCATAACACGTTTCTTATGTAGGGATGGACTCCAACTGGTGGGTACTGAAGCCAGAGTTCCGACTGCCTTCTGAGGAAGAGATCAGAGCCATGGTGTCCCCTGAACAGTGCTGTGCTTACTACAGCATGCTGGAGGCTGAACAGAGGCTCAAGGTACATGCAGCATTTCTTCTCACTTGCATATACATGTAGTAACAGTGCCCCCTTTCTATTATCCTCAGCAATGCATGTCATGTACACGAGTAATCAAGAATGTTCATGAATCATGAGTATTTCTGACATTTTATTGTTTTATAAGATATATAGCTGGAAGTAGATTGTAGATGGTTTATTGCAATTTGTTGTGTGTAAGTATTGCCATAATCCTTGCGTATTGTGTAAGGCCCACATGTATGTTGTTTTATTCTCCTGTCTGCAGGATGCTGGTTATGGTGAGAAGTCTCTTTTCGCTCCAGAGGAAGAAAATGAAGAGGAGTTTCAGAGAAACATAGATGATGAGGTAAATAATTTAGTCACCTTGAAATTTTCCTATCGTGCCAACCACCTTTCCTTTATCTTGGGAGCTCATGTGATACTGCAGATACTTGATAACAAGAAGAGGAGGAGTGCTTGTGGATTTAATGTTGCTCCTCCCCCTCCAGGTGCGCACGGCTCCGTGGAACACGACTCGAGCCTTCATCTCCGCCATGAAGGGGAAGTGCCTGCTGGCTGTGATGGGTGTGGCAGACCCTACCGGCTGTGGAGAGGGGTTCTCTTATATCAAGGTGGGCCTTAGGGTTTCAAGGACAGAGTGAAGAAAGGAGTGAATTAATTAATTAATTAGTTGAAGGAGTTGAAGAATTGATAGAAGGACACTGATAAATTGATAAATGTAGGAAGATTTGATGGAAGAAATGTACCAGGCTGTGTTCAGTCACCTGCTTTGATACATGCTTTGATGTTTCAAAAGGAGAACACGTTTAGAAAATGAGCCAAAGTATGATTTGATGTTGTAATGAATGATTCCCACAGGTTCCCAACAAGCCCCAGTCCTCCAAGGACGACAACTCGCCCCAGCCCGTGAAGAGAACGGTGACGGGAACGGACGCAGATTTGCGCAGGCTCTCACTGAAGAACGCCAAACAGCTGCTGAGGAAGTTTGGTGTGTCTGAGGAGGAGATTAAGAAGCTGTCAAGATGGGAAGTAAGTAACTATGCTTTTGTTCAACAGAAGGTTGAGACCCCTGCTTGCAATCTTGTTATAACCTCAGCTGAGTTCTTAAAGCTTCAGGTCTTATCCTAATGCCACTTGACAGTCCTCTCAACTCAAGCTCCAACTTGATGGACAAATAGAGCATTTTTTGAGGCACATACAAACAAGGCATGAATGTTTGATGACAACACTGTCAATCCAAAAATATGGGATTTCATTCATACCCAGCATCATCTTTCTTTTCTTCAGTATTCAAGATTTCATTGATGGCAAATATGGAAATAAATAGTAATGATTCAAACTACATGTGTATGTCTTTGAGTTGCCTGATTTTTGATAGTGGGTGTAAATCTTTCTTTTTTTTCATTTTTTGTTCATTAGTTCTCTTATTTTCTGGTTTATGTTACTCTGTTGCTGTTATCTGTACAGAACTTGCTTGTAAAGCTGTGGGAGGCACTGAGTGTATTCTACCCTGTGTATTAAAGAAAACAGAAAAAAAAGTTTCACGAGCTAACTGTTGCCACCTTGTCCCCAGGTGATAGACGTGGTGAGAACCATGTCCACAGAGCAGGCCAGGTCAGGCGAGGCGGGGATGAGTAAGTTTGCCCGCGGGACTCGCTTCTCCGTAGCCGAGCACCAGGAGAAGTACAAAGAGGAGTGTCAACGCATATTTGACCTTCAGAACAAGTATGGAAAACTGGCTCAAAACTTGTCGAAATGTTTCCCCATTGAGATACTACAATGATTTTGTAAGCTGTCAAGACCAATGATCCAAATGTCTTTTGATAAGTGTAACTACAGATATGAAGCAATAGTCTATACTCAAAAGAAGTTCTGTTTTAATTAACTGTAGCCCCAATTTTACAAAATGCTGAAGGTTATGTCAGGCCAGTTTATGTTGAAGTTTTGGAAATCTAAATTTTTTTCTTCTTTTTTCCAGGGTCCTTTCCTCAGCCGAGGTCCTATCCACTGATGAAGAGAGCAGCTCTGCAGATGACAGTGACTTTGAGGAAATGGGCAAAAACATTGAGAACATGCTGGCCAACAAGAAAACAAGCCAACAGGTCTGTTTTCACGACTAGCACCTGGGATTCATAAATGCCTGAACTTAACCTAATTTGATAAAAAAAGGGGCAGTAGCCGTGTTTTTCTATGACTGCAAGTTAGGTAGAAAGTTTAAATTTAGTTGTGTGGTAGAGATCCTTTGCTTTTGTGCAGTTTATTCAAATGGCTTCTTTGAATTGCCAGGAGTTGGTATTCCAGGTATAATGTTACTGCCTTATGCTGACAAATATTCTGTCTGCCAGAGTGTCTCTAAATTTCTGTACCTTTCCAGATCACTCGTGAGAGAGAGGAGGCTGAGAGGAAGGAGCTACAGAGGATGATTATGGGGGAGGATACCAGCAAAGATAGGTGAATACAGTATTTTCTTACCAACACAACACACTCTGGGATCTCAGCAGATGTGTTCTAGTTTAAGACTTCATTTTCAAATGTACATGTGTTTACAGTTTGTATTGATATCTTGTCCCTACAGAGACAAGGATGATAAGAGGGAAAGTAAGCGTTCTTCGTCTACCGGCACCCCCATCCCTGGAGCACGTGGTCAGGATGATGACTTGGAGAGCATAGGCTCATCCTTCGTAAGTCCGTTTAGGAAAGGAGAAGTGATCTCGATACAGTTTTATCTCACTTTAATGCTAACCTCCCACTGGTCATGACAGACACTATGTACAGTATTTACAGCTTTCAACAAGCAGAATGAACAGTGGACACAGCTTAATGCCCCATCCTAAGGCCTGTGACCCTTTACAGTAGCATGCATGTTGGCTGAGGGCCAACAGCCGGGAAGCAATCTCCCATCCTCTTGGTCCAGAGGCAGGGTTGCTAACCACTGGACTATGCATGCTTGATGTGATCATTGACAAGAAAGAAAAATAATGATTTTATATGTACATGTCTCATAGTCAGCTGACTTTTACTTCAATATTATCTATGCCCAGAAAGCAGTAAACATTACATGTTGTTAAAGAAGTCTTTGTTTTCCAGACTGGTCGCAGACTGAAGATCTACAGGACCTTTAAGGATGAGGATGGGAAGGAATATGTCAGAACAGAGACGGTCCGTAAGCCCTCTGTCATTGACACTTACGTCCGCATCAGGACCACCAAAGATGAGAACTTCATGTAAGTCTGGCTTGTCCTACCCTTCTACATTTGATAAGCTCAAGAAAAATGTCTTGTAATTTCTCTTCTTTAGAGGGCATTGTGATATGAAATGAACAAATCAAATCACATGTTTAACAGGCAGTCTGTTAGTATTGACCTGTACACACAGTGGTGTACAACTGATTTGGAATTTGAGCTGAACCTCATATGTGTACTATTTATTCCCTTTGCAGTAAGAACTGGCTGGCCCAGGATGAACAACACAAGGAGGAGATGAGAAGAGAGAGAAGAAGGTTGGTTTGGTATATATGTTTGTGTCAAGCAGAACAAATAAAATACAATATATACAGATGTTTCTCTGCATTTTGTCAGTCCAATTTGGCTGTGGTCATAGAGTGGTTATAGAGGGTTCCATGTTCAAAGTGCTAACAGCAGAACCTATTGAGGATAAGTATATTGTTTAAATTCTGTATTTTCCTTCTATAGAATTCAAGAGCAGCTAAGACGCATCAAAAGGAACCAGGAGAAGGAGAAGATGGCTCCTCCCCCCAAGAAGAAAAAGAAGAAGCCAGACCAACCTCCACTCAAGGTAAATGAAACTAGCATGCCTGAGAAAAGATGATGAGCCTAAGATGATAGAGTTAAGAAGTTAAGGCTCAAAATCCCACCTGTATATGCAGTTAAGTGCAGCTTATTCATGAGATGCTCAAATTGACATACAAGCTGCTATTCACTGGGGTCATGAGACTGAAGATGCTTGATTTGAAACTTCTTCCTCCATCCCCTCCACAGTTGAAGTGCGGTGCCTGCGGACAGATCGGCCACATGAGGACCAATAAGGAGTGTCCGCTGTACGAGCGGAGCCACGCCCCTCCCTCCCATCCCGTTGCGATGACAGAGGAGCAGGAGGAGGAGGTGGAGAGATGTACCATCAAGGAGGATGAGAACCTCATCAAGGTGGAGGGCACCAAACTCATCCTCGGCAAGTCACTCGTGGACCAGTAAGTACTGCTCTACAACTGACCAAGAAGTCAGGTCTTTGTTTACTCATTCATTCATCGACTTTCCTTCTGTTAATTCTTTTACTCATTCATTCATCGACTTTCCTTCTGTTAATTCTTTTACTCAGTCATTCACAGGTACTTTGTCATCCATCCGTCCATCCATCCATCCATCCATCCATCCATCCATCCATCCATCCATCCATCCATCCATCCATCCATCCATCCATCCATCCATCCATCCACTCACCTTGGATGCAAAAACACACCTTGAACAGAGGTGTTACAACATGTATCACATACTTATTTTGTATGGTTTATCACCCAAGGACTTGTGTACATTGTGAAGAATGTATATCTGACATGTGAACTGTGCACACACAGGGCTGCTGCAGTTCGTCGTGAGTCCCTGATTCTCAAATTCCCCAAGGCCATGCAGCCAAAGAAGGATGAGAAGAAGAAGAGACGAGTGGGGACAGTCACACACTGTGATTACCTCAAGGTGGGCAACCCTTTACATACTGTCTGCTCAAGTTTCCTTTCAGGGTACATCTTTGGATTACATTATGGTTGAAACACAGTACGAAGTTTTGATAATCCATGTTTAGTAATTGTTATCTCACATTGTCCTTTTTATGTTGCTATTTCTTGATTTAAAATCTACATATGATATTACACTGTTATTTTACTTGGAGAAATAGTTTTAGTCAAGGCTAAAACATTTTCTCCAAGTAAAATAACAGGCAGGCAGGTAAATGTTTTAGTGAGAACCGTATCCTCAATTTGTGATGGGTTGTAACATTCTTTACTGCGTATCTCAAAGTGCTTTCAAATTATTTATTTCAGAGACCCAAGAAGTCGGCGAATCGGCGCCGTACGGATCCTGTGGTGACGCTGTCATCCATCCTGGAGAACTTCCTGAACGAGATGCGAGACCTGCCGAACACGTACCCCTTCCACCAACCCGTCAACCCTCGCATGGTGGTGGACTATTACAAAATAGTACACAGACCCATGGACCTGCAAACTATGAGAGAGGTCAGTTACACAATACACTGTAATTCACTTTATGTTCACGGTAGAAAAATTTCTCGGTCTGAGAAAAATGGAGGTGTTTACAGAACTACATGTTAACAGTGGTGGCAGGTGCAGGAAAAAGAGTCTAAGATTGATTTGTTAGCAGTAATGATAAATTCACGGTACAGAAGTGACTGTGAAAACCGGTACCTGGAAATTTCTCTAGGAGTTTCTCATGTTGTATTTCCCTTGTGGATTGCTAGGTGGTGCACTTTGCAAGGTGGTACGAACCAAGAAAGATATCTCAGGCCACACCAATTTAATTTGTTGGTTCTCAGATTTGCCTCTTTGTTTTTTTCTGATTTGCAAAAAAGAAAAAATTGATTCTGGTCCTGAATCAACTGAAAAATGCTCATGTTTTGCCCCCCAACAGTTGAGGAAAGTCCTTTTCTTCCTAGTTGTTACAGTTTCCCCATCTATCATTGCAGTGGTTTGATTAAAAGTTCAAAATTCAATGTTTAAATTTTAACCCAGCCTTTTGTGTTGACTTCATGGCTTATTTTGTAGCATTTAAGCCTATAATAGGATGCCTAGACCTGTTTTTATTTTTTATTTTTTCGCCCTGTCGCTTCATATTTTTTCTGAAAAAATCCAAGAACCAACAAATTAAATTGGTGTGGCCTCATGATCCATAATGTGAAGGTGTAGTTTTTCAGCTGTACAGGCAGTGGTTCATATGTCTATTCTGTCCCACAGAAACTGCGACAGAGACAGTACCACTCTCGTTTGGACTTTGTGGAAGACGTTAAACTGATTGTTCACAACAGCACACTGTACAATGGTGAGTCCTTTACTCTGCCCTCCTCAGAAATACAGAGTTGTAATCATTGTCACCTATCGTTTTAGTTATTATTCAAGATTAGGAGATCTGGTCTCAGGGTTAACATCTTGAAAAGGTGATATTTACCTGTTCTGTCAATCCTGTCACAGATGAGGCAAATCTCAATGGATATAGTTGAATAGGATTCTCATAGAAAATTCACTCTACTACTGGATAATGTGTCAGTGCCATTTTTTTTGGCACTATCCAAGTGTCCATCCCATGTGTTAACCCATAAGCAGAAGTTTCAGTGTAGATGTTCATGATCCACCCCAGGTGCAAAGAGCCCTCTGACCCAGATAGCGCAGGACATGCTGGGTGTGTGTGAGAAGAGAGTAGCGGAGAAGGAGGACAAGATCACCCGTCTGGAGAAGGCCATCAACCCTCTCCTGGACGATGACGACCAGGTGGCCTTCTCCTTCATCCTGGAGAACATCATCACTCAGAAGATGATGAACGTGCCCAACGTAAGGCTTCTCTTGTGTTGATTTTTCTTTTATTGTGCGACACCTCAGGGTGACAACTAAGAGTATTGTCTGACAGTTTTCAAAATTTATCCAGTTGCTTGAGTAACAATTACTAACGAAGTCAGTATACACTATGTAAGTGCAACTAGTCACTATGTACTTTGCAGAAAGCAAAAACTACAGGAGCAGTACGAAAGACATAGTGTTATCAACAGTTTATGTTTGTAAAAAGTTGTAATGCCAATATGATAAACTAAATGTATAGGGGGATTCTTATAAAATTAGACCCAATGTGTTTCTAAATTCTGTTTTCTCCAGTCTTGGCCCTTCCACCAGCCAGTCAACAAGAAGTTTGTACCAGACTACTTCAAGGTCATCTCACAACCCATGGACCTGGAGACACTCAAAAAGGTAACTGAAGATGCATGAAAAATCAAGAACATGGAAGAAAGTTACCATTATAGATAGTGTATAAGGTTTAGTAAGCTCCAAGCTCCGACTTGTAATTTGAGAATCTGTATTCAGATCTTGAAAACTGATGTTTAATTTCATAAGTCAGCTGGCAAATAGATCAGAAGGAGTCTCTTATTTTAGAATGTCATATTTCGTCACTGATTCCTCTTAATATGGGATTTCCATCTGTAAGAGTGAGAGTGATTATTATTCATCTATGAGAGTCATAGTATTACACGTGTTCCAAATCTCCCAAGAAATGTATATGTGTTTTCTGTGCACATATATAGAATGTCCAATCACACAAGTACCGAAACCGTGAGGCGTTTATGAAGGACGTGGACCTGATCCACAGGAACAGTGTGAAGTACAACGGAGCAGACAGCCCCTTCACATGTACCGCTGACGAGGTCGTCAGGTCATGTAAGGAAACTCTTGATGAGGTAAAGTTAAGCTCTCATGACTTTGTTGTGATGTCTGTGAATGAAAGTGAACTTTATATGTATTGTTTGATTTAAATGTTTACTTTGTCTTATGATAGTATAGTGTTAGCGATTGTTTTAATATTCCTACATTAAACTTGGACAATAGTGCTTGAAGTTTCTGCTCATCCAACTATTATAACACAGAAGAAGGTGGTCTTTTCTTCCAACTCTTTGTTATTCCGTCTACTTTACTTTGGTTAAGCTCCTACACTCTATCCTCCACCAGAAACTGGATTTCCTTTACATCTGTAAGGCTGGTGTCAGATCTGAGGTTGTCAATGAAGTTAACCCTAGGTCTCCCTCAAGTGATACCACCACCAGTATTTGTATTGAAGGTAACTCATCCTTCTGTTTTGTCCAGTACGATGAGCACCTGACGCAGCTGGAGAATGACATCTGCCATGCCCAGGAGGCGGCCATCGCTGCCGCCATGCAGGACGAGGATCAGGACGGCAGCAACCTGCCCTCCAACCCTAACAGTCCTCAGGTATACAGAGTTTTTACACATTATCTGCACTCTCAGAGTGGGCTTGATAAAGTTTATTGTTCAGATGTGCCCAAGGGAACTCCACCACTAACAGCTAGATGTTCGTGCAACAGAAATTCTGAGTCACGTGAGGTTAGGAGGTTGGCTTTGTGCATCTTATGATTTGAATTCGTGTCCAAATACTCAGACTTAAAATCACAGCATATAACAGTGAGATGAACATGACTCAATGTTTCAAGGTCTGATCAGCTGACAATGTTTTTCATTTACACCAATACAAGGATTCACAGTGTATGGTGTCTGTCTTGCTTAAAGTTTACCTTCTGCTTATGTAAAAATGTAGATTACAATAAACACCACCACCATGGCTTATGACATGTTTCCCCATTTTATCATGACAAATAATAAATGAAATGTAATGTCTCCCCATGTGTTCTCCCCAGCCCGGTGACGCTGACATGGAGGAGGACAGTCTGATGGACAACACCACCACGGCTCATGATGAGAGCTGGGAGAGTGCCCCGCCCACAGAGCCGCAGCCCGGCCCGTCACGCGAGTCGGTCGGAGACTCGGACTTCATCGACGTGGTGGGAGACGAGGAAGCCATGGAGATGGACCGGTCCAAACGTGTGAGGGGGGAGGAGGGTACAGGTACAACACTGGTGTTACTCTTTATACCGAAGAAAGAAAGTTCTTGCCCGGATGCTAATAGCACTAACATGAAAATAAAATGAAAGGATGGACAATGCATAACAGTATAATATGTGTCTACTCTAGTAAAATTTTGACACTTAATTGTAAGCTATTGGGTTCGACTTGTTTTGCTGAGAGAACAAAGAAAGTGACAGAGAAGACTTTGTGTCTGTAGGAGATTGTACCAGGATTGATCTTCAAGTGAGAGTGTCTGTCATCATCAAACTCTTACATAGCTCTTAAACCACTAGAAAGATTTAACTATGGTTGAAATATTTTATTGTCCTGTTGTGCAGGTAAGCATGAGGACACGTTGATGGAGGACCTGCTGGTGTCGGAGAGTGAGAGTGATGCGGAGAGTGACCTTCCCTACACCAGACAGGACAGCGATCTCTCCGACTACTATGACCAAGGTGGGGCATCGTCTAGTATAGTCTGTGTTATTTTGTAGTTGATAATCTTAAAATGCAGATCAATGCTTTTTAACTTGTAGCTTAGAGGAGCTATGGTCAAGAGAAGGAATACTTTGAAAGTTCTTACAATCGGAGTAATTTAGCTGCATTCCCACACTTCACATGACATGTGTATGTACAAAATGAGACAATTTTACAAATTATGTATGGTGGGAAGTTGCCATGGTTTATACATTTGTAAACACTACATCATTTCTTACCCTCCCCCAAGGAGACAATGGTAGCAGCCGGCCTGTGTCTGCTGCCTTTGACAGCTACCAGAATGAGGACTCCAACTTTGACTACAGCTATGATGTGGAAGGTTAGCTTCTCTCTTTAGATCTGTTACTGGTAAAAAATAACACATGAAACCTCTTTTCTGCTAAATTCTAGGTGTTAAACCCATTTCTTTTTGTGAATCAGTATTGACAAAATCTATTGCTGTAAGGCTCTAGCCAGCACACGTTTTTCTGTAACTTGCTGGACATGTGACATGTGGTGGAAACTTTTGGAAACCAACCCTCTTTACATCTCGTTACTTAAAATAACGTAGAATAGAACCTCATATAAATTCTTTGCATTTAACCCATTTCTTTTTCTGTATAAATATTGACAAACTCTGTTGCTCTTCAGATGAAGACAGCCGTCTCCCTGATGAAGACTCCAACCTCCCGACCGACCTGAACCTGTCTGAGGATGACGACGAGGAAGATTCTCGTTACGCGGACGACAACGCCCAGTTCCCTGACATCAGCAACCCATATTTCACGCAGCAGCAGCCACCAGCACAGCGCTCGCTGCAGTTCAGCGACCAGTTCTTCGAGGAGGTGAACCAGGCGGCCGGAGGGGATTCCCTACAGGCAGCGGAGGGGCTGGACACCAGGGATCTGGTCGCTCAGGCCATGGCGGAAATCGACAACAAAGAAAGTGACGGAGAAGACTTTGTGTCTGTGGGAGGAGATCTTAGTGAGGAGAGCTCAGATCCAGATGTGTAATAATGTACCAGATTGATGTTCAGATGAGAGAAGTGTCCATCATTATCAAACTCTTATATAGAAATCAGTAGAAACATATAGCAACAGCTAACGGCTGCTAACCCATTGAAGTATTGTTTTCTCATGAAGAGAACTAAGTAAATAGTTAACCCACACCACGGTGTTTTGGTGTTAAACTTGACACAAAACTGTTTAAAATGCTTTTTGTATAGAAAAGAGAAGTAAGACATGGATTTTTCTTTGTTACCAAATGTAAAGCTTGTACAGGAAAATAGAATGCCAGATATAACTGAAATATAAAGATGCATCTTTCGGATGGAAATTTCAAGCATATGGAAGAAGGCATAAGACTGTACCTGTACATAAATACTTTTGTTACTCTGTGAAGAAGGTATACCTCCTGGTGGAGTATCGTGGGTAGACGGTTTTTCGTCTTCAAAGTCAAAACACTGGGTTCCCTTTGTTTAATCGGCATGCAATTTCATACGTCATCTGCAGGCATGCCCGTGTCGATGCACGTGTCTTTATATTTACCGTTGCTGTTTTTGCCGTCAATGTAATATTTACAATGCACCCCTACATTTATGAAGCAAATTGGAATGGTCCAGAAAACCCGTTGTTTTGAATGGGGGGGGGGTGGCTTCAGGCAGATATGGGGAGGGGTCGATAAGTAGTACCAGATGTTTCGGCCCTTGTATAAGATATGGGGCCATTTTTGGAAGATGTTCACAGTAAAAACGCATTGTTCTGTACAGAGTATTACTGTGTAATTGACATGTGGTGTCCATGGTGATGCACTTCTTTTTATTTTCACCATAGCAGTTTTTATATTGAAGTACATGCATATTTTAGAAGCATCCCTACTTTTACAATCCTGTGGAATAGGCCATTTTGATATCACATAATTCCTAGCCAGACAACTAAATGGTTCATATACAACAGCATACAGCGTATGTAATGGGTGCAGTCTATGAAAAGCGTAAAATTAGCTATATTAGTGCCTGGATTTTCATGTAGGCGGAATCAGCATGAACAAAAGCGCTCAAAAAGCGAGGGCGCATACATGAGGATGGCATTCAGCACCAAGGACAGGTACGTTTGCACAGTATGCGCCCTTTGCCATTGTGAATTTATCGTAGACCGTGACAGTTCCACTCCTACCTTCCTCAAGTGCATGCCATTTTTTTCTGTAAAGTTTGGCCAGCTTTAACAAGTCCCTATACTTTACGGACGCTCAAAAAGCGAGCGCGCGCGTGTGGTTTTCACCATACATACTGTGTGTTTTACTATGAGGCTGGCGTTCAGCACCAAGGACAGGTACCGTTTGCATTAGAAACATTTGTTGCCGAGGCTGATTGAATTAGCAAATTCCGGCTACTATACTTTGACCAAATTGAATACTTATTGCTGCTGACACTGCCTGTGTGTTATTTTGACACAAACTAGTCCGAAATTTTGAGCAGAGAGCCATAAATTTTTTGTGGGGATTGATTTGTGGCGGTGAAGTAGTTATGGTTATCAGGGTAAATTAGACCAGCTGTTGTACACAGCTGCGTAAAAGTCACACGTGGTACGGTCTGCGTCTGTCGGAGCCACGCGGGGAAGACCAGGAATTATTTGTCAACCTTTTGGTAAATTTTCGGCTTCCAATTAGAAAAATATTCATTCTAACTTGTAGAAGAAATCTTCAGGGATGTTTCTACGGCGGAATTGTGCCGTTTTCTGGATTTTGGTAGAAGAAATTGCGGATTTCCTGACGTGGTGGATTTTGGAGAAGACGAGAAAATGGCGCCCGAAGGATGACGGCGTGGTCGTGGGCCGGGCAGAGTTTTCACAAGGTAAGGCAACTAGCCGTGCCGTAGAATTTACTTCCCACAAACTGACACGTTTCGGTATGTTCGTGGTAAATTTGTGTGATTTTGAGAATGCAACACGATAGTTTGTGTAGTTTTAGGTCCTTGTTTCAATATAACGTTACATGTGGTATTCACGTCTTCTCCCAGAATATCACAGTTAGGTATTGCTACTCTTAAGTTAAATTTTCAAGAGAAAGAAATGGACATTTGTTTCTGTATACCTGGTCTAATAATTTTGCCCCTTGTCTGTGAAACAGAAAGGAAACATGGGTAGAATATTTGTGGGAATTTCCCTCATGGAAAACACCAGAAATTTTGCCTATCTATTTGCATGCAAGATTTCATTTGGCTAAGTATTTCAGACTGGGATAAAATGACAAAGAAACACCACTTTAACTTGTTTCTTGGATTTGCCAGCCTTTTTTCCTGATTAAAAAAACATGTAACATTCAGGTTCTTCTGTATCAACCCAAAATCCTCATTTTTTGCCCTATTAAGTCTATTTTTTAAACTTCAAGAATTTTAGGTATTGGATAGGAATTCTGTAATGTTGTTACATGCATCTGATTTCGTTTTTTGTTTAATCGTAGTTTATGAAATAAAAAATCTCTAAATTTTAAGTACATGTGTAAAGTTAGTGCAGTAATATTCACATACATGACATTGTGTTAAAAAAAATTAAACCAACTGTACAGAGTATCATTGAGTGTCTACAAATGCATAGCAAGTCTAAAACTTGTTAACGTCATATGACAAGTCTCCTGGGTACAATTTTTTGCAACAATACCCCAAATTGATTATTCTTTATACAGTTAGGTGAATGAGTGTTCGCTGTATGTTTTGAACATGACTTTTAAGCTCTTTAAGAATGGCATCAAAAGTTTCTGGTCTACTAGTAGCTGTTATTAAAGCTTTTGTCTGTGTATGACAGGGCTGATAACACCTTGTAACTTGACCTTGTTTTCATGTGATTCTGTAGTTAGCTGTGTGCTGAGGGTCTGCCAGCTCTGCAAGTGTTCCTGTCCAGATGAGATCAGACTTGTGATGGCAGAGGCACCAGGTGATTGGATACAGTATCAGACCAGGTGAGGAAAATTGGAACTCTGCATTTTTGCACACCATTTACTTGATTATTTGAGACAAGTGTGTAACTTGGTATCTCTGCATAGTTAGGTGGCTGCTGACTGATGCAGTAGTGAAGATTCCTGTCTGAACCTGACAAGACTGGATTGGACCAGACCAGACCAGGCGACCCCAGAGGACCCTAGAAGAATATCAGGTGAGAAAAATCTTAATTGTGCATTTTGAAAATTCCACTTGGTGTATTTGAGGAAAGTGTGTAACTTGTTATGTCTGTATATAGTACTTCTTTCTGTTGCTAATATGTCAGAATGACAGTCACTGTAATTTAAATAACACACAGCCTGGATTTTTTAATCAATGTTACAACATTTTTCATTTTTCTACATCAGATTTATTAATAAGCAAAGGGATAGTTCAATTGTTCAAGTTTCTTATCTATCATTTAATGGCCATTCAGTGTTCAATGGGAGATGTTTTTGCATCACACAGTAATTATCCTTTCATTATTACATGTAGGTGTGTCCTGACGTTCCTATGCTGACCGGGGAGAAACCTGTGATGACCGGCGACTCCTGTCCAATGCAGACCAAATGAGAGCTTAGCAAACCAGTTGACTTGAAGACACAGAACATTTTAGACACAGCACAGAAGAAGCCCAAGACGTTGAACTGGTAAGTTTGTATTTCCAAACATACATTTGAAAGGTTGACATGTTACAAAGATGGTAAAATTTGGTTGCCCAGGGCAACTGAGCAACCAGGTATTTTACAGTGAATCTTAGACCACACCAATTTAATGGTCTTTCTTGGTTCTCAGATTTGCCTGCTTGATTTTTTCAATGATTTCCAAAAAAAATATGCTCACATTTTGGCACATAAAGAAAGCCCTTGCCCTTGTTGTTACCGTCACAATTTTTCCATTTATCCATGCAGTGATAAGATTTAAAGATAAAAATTCATTGTTCGAGTTATAAACCAGCCCAGCATTTTGAAGTTTGTGGCTCCTACCATACCACTATGTATTTGGAGTATGAAAGGATGCTAGGCAGACTAATTAAAAAATTTTCCCCAGAGTGCTTTACTTTATTGATTTTCTGCAAAAATGTGTGATAAAATTGGTGTGATCATTGTAAACATTTTCTTAGGAAGGCCAATTGCTGACTTAAATTTTGTTTTTCTGTTTTCAAGATGACATTGTGGATGATCCGGAGACTGGACTGTAGCAGAATGAAGGACCAGACTTTTGTTGACAGATCTCAACCTGAGTGTGTAAAAGATAGGGAGGCGTGAGTATGTTTCCTTATTAACACAAGACAACACTCCATATGCACACGCTTGCACTCACAGTTCTCTCTTTTGCCCAGTTCACTCTACTCTGAGGGTCGGCAAGCCTTTTTTAGGTAAGGAGGCATTTGACGTTAATCATCTTTAATTCCATGACAAAGGACACTGAAAAATTCTTTGTATCGTATATTATTATTAGTTGAATGGCAAATTGCCCAAAAATTGTCACTTCTATAACAAAAGTATCTTAGTCGGCCACTTCAATTCCACGTTTTTATCCTGAATTCATGTTAAGCATCACTAGCTGCTGCTGCAGCTGAAAAATTTTTCATATTTAGTTGAATATGCCAAATTGCCCCAAAATTGTCACTTTGGACCTATACACACTTAAATTCTCCCGCCAAAAAGCTTTGAATTAACTCACGGTGTTATCCTCTTTGTATCGTATAGTGGAATGCAAAATTGCCCCAAAATTGTTGCTTTCGACCCATACACTACTAAATTCTCGTGCCAAAAAACTTTGTATCTTAGTCGGCCTTTTCAATGCCACGTTGTTATCTGTTTTTAGTGTCAAGGAAGAATTTTTCATATTGTTTAGCCAAATTGCCCAAAAAGTAAAGCCTGCAGCCACATTCTCTAAAAAAGCTGTCCTCTAAAAAATTGTTGATTTTGGACCTTTGTTTGCACTTAATTGTCTCGCAGTGCACACTAATCCCTTGTTAAAAGTCCATTTTCCCGCCAAAAAAAAACTAATTGGCACCCTCACCTGGTTAATTAATTGGATTAAGTTTTCCCGCCAAAAAACTTAGTATATAGAGCACTCTAACCTTGAACTTGTGCCCCCCTCCCCACTCTTCCTGCCCACAACTCAGAGTATGTTAGTTACACTGTTCTCTGAACTTCTTTGCACATGCACTCTGCTACACAAACACTTGGTTTATCGAGTGCAGTTTTTCCACCACTTTGACTTTAGAATAATCTCTCAATCTCCTGGTCAGTCAATGCACTACGTGTACTCCCCGGGGGATGTCTTTTCGGAGACATTGATGCTTCGACACATCAGTATACCAGTGCAATTGACTGACCAGGGGAGCTGGAGATTATTCTAAAGTCAAAGTGGTGGAAAAACTGCACTCGATAAACCAAGTGTTTGTGTAGCAGAGTGGTGACTACATGTGCAAAGAAGTTCAGAGAACAGTGTAACTAACATACTCTGAGTTGTGGGCAGGAAGAGTGGGGCACAAGTTCAAGGTTAGAGTGCTCTATATACTATATAAGTTTTTTGGCGGGAAAACTTAATCCAATTAATTAGCCAGGTGAGGGTGCCAATTAGCTGTGGTTTTTTTTGGCAGGAAAAGACTTCACAAGGAATCAGCAAAAACAAAAGCCATTTACCCAAAGTTCTTTCAGACTACTTTCCCAATTTTCACACTTTAACACTGAAAACTGTCAACTGACTGCCTGATTCTGTACCTTAACACACAGGCTACATTACAAATAGGACGCTTTTTTACATAACATGTCAACTATCTCTCACTCAACAGGCTATCTACATGCAGTTATGTATCTTTTTACCTGCAACTCTGGGGCCGTCTTTGCCGCACAAATCTTTGCTGTGGTCATGTTCAGATTATACTTATTATTAAATCCTGAGTTCTGAATTCATCAATCTGATGTTTTACAAATCAAAGTGGCCAGTTTTACTTCAGATCCGCCTTTTTAAGCGAGTGACAACTTAACACCCCGCAAAATATTGGCTCTTGCGCAACTGGCTAAAAGTCCACCACAACAAACAAGTACAAATAGGACCGGTGTCTCCGTGCTGTACACGCTTTTTATGTACCCTTGTTGGGCAAAATATACCTCG